TGTAAGGTAGAGAAGAAACCGGAGTTTTTCCTTGGACGTCATTCTCTGAATTGGGTCTCTAGACGTGATTTTCCATTGTGGCGCTGGACAGATTCTGTGAAAGCTGAAGCTTGAAGTCACACCGTTTGGATGGGCAGTATAAACAGGAAGAAGCTGAGGCCGGACCTGCTGCAGGGAAGCCAGAAGGCATTTCTGGCCTGGAACCAACACAGAGCCTCCCTTCACACTGCTCTTGGCTGGGTTTTGTCTTCCTATTTGAGCTTCTATAACATAAAAAGCGAGGACAAGGAGAACTATACCAGGAGGCCTAGAAGACTCAAGTCCTGAGTTGGTATTAACTGTACGTGTCAACTTGAAAGAAAAGGATCACTGACGCGTTCTCCTGACGCAGAGACATAAGCAGCAGAAATGGGATCAGGTTTAAAGCAGCCTGCAGGGCAAACAACTTAGCAAAACCGGATACTCTCCCCCCAGGGAATGCGTAGATCAATCTCAGCGAGGTATCTGATCAAGCATCCATTTCCAGTGCATTGCATCTCCTAGTGGGCAGGTGCTTCTCAGCATGTTCCTCCTGAGGCCTGACAAAGGAACGCAGGAGAAATCCTCCAGGAGGTCATGAGTCTTCCATTCTCTGTGTAACAACAACTAGATTGGCTCATTTGGGGAGTTAATGACAGACACAGGTCCCCCGAGAACTGACGAAAGCAGACTCCAAGGGTCATGTCCATTCTCCGTAGGCAAGTTAGAGAAATATCCCCAAAGGTCGGTGGGGAAGATGGGACGGAGGCCCCTGGCCAACAGCCACGGCAGAATGAGCTTTAGCTACATGAGGAAGCGCAGCTCTCCCTTCCTTTCTGTCTGCTTCCAGGGCCCCCTCCTGCAACCACCACACTATACACGGTTCTACCGAAATTCAAAATGTTCTTTGAAATGTTCACAGTTGTTTTTGGTGGTGGTTTGTTTTTGTTTTTTAATTTTCTACTCTCTGTCATTTCAGGTTTATCTGTCGTCACTAGTGAAAAATTGATTTGAAGGTAAAATCTGGTTTGTTGGCTTAAAACTTTCTCATGTTTCTAACTTTCGAGTATAGGACCATTTTACTTTTTAAGGACTTGACTTTTGTAGGTATACACAGCTGGTACACAAATTGTAGAAACTTGGAAACATTCAGAAAGTATTAGGAACATCTCCTTCCGGCCGCAATGGGATAATGGATCGGATTTACCCATCCATTTTAAACAACTATGACACTGGACAAAATATACAAAATAGTGGTTTTCAGACACTTGGCAGTGGGCAGTGAAGGCCTGTGACCCCTGAGAGATGGGGTGTGGATGAGATGAACTCTAAGTGCCCTTCTTTCCTTCTGAAGAGGGTTTCCAGGCGGCAGCCCGGGAGGCGGAGTCTGAACAGAACCCAGAGGTCTCCATGGGCTGAGGAGACAAAGATCCAGGTAGCTGGGACCTGCAGGGCCGTGAGTCAGGGAACAAGAACCACAGCAGAGGGTCCCCTCCAGTCTCCCAGGGATTGCTGAGCAAGGGCCACATGTACAGAGACCACCGGAAAGAACCACTGAGAGAAAGGAAAATCCCCGAGCTTGCGTGTGCGGCCAAGAATAACTGTGTCTCCTGAGCAGAAAGAACCCTGAACACACAGCGCATGGCACAGAATCCTCAGAGGAGTGCTGCCCTGGGAGCGCCACCTAAACTAAAAGACTGTTGGGGGCACACAGTCTCAAAAAGATCAAATTGTTCCCATGGGACTTAATTGGATCCCACAACAAAGTACTTACAGGAATTTAAAAAAAGCCTGCAGCACCCAACCATGTTACACCGAATGCCTGGCATAGCCTCCACAGTTACCCGGTGTGTAAAGAAGCAGGAACAAGTGAACCATAATCAGGAGAAAACATTTTAAATCATTAGGAAGATTAAAAAAAAATGACCATAAGCTTACCAATGAGAAATGTAGTGACTCAGGTGTTCCCTTCTAGACTTTTCGTCAATGCATTGTTTTTAAAAATTACATGAACTATGGATGATCAAACGTAGGTACAACTTGCTATTCTGATTTTCTGCCTTTGCAAACGTAAGCACCACCCCATGTGTGTTGTTCCACTCTTTTGGTTTTAAGAACCAATCAATGCTCACTTGAGTTACCTCAAATAAGAGGACGTGTATTATAAGGAGACCACCAGGTCATAAGGAAATAAGACTAAAAGGGAAAGAAAAGCAAATGACTGGACCCGGCAGAAGTGAGGGATTGAGACGGCTCTCAGGGTCCAAAGCAAGTTCACTCGGACCCAGAGCAGCTCCAGGACCCCAGCAGGATCTCCTCAGCAGGATGCCCTCCCACGCCCCACCTGAACGAGCCTCAACACGCACTGTCACAGTATCCCTTCTCTTGGCACATCGTCTCCATTGCTGACTAGCATCCCATTGCAACAATACACGGGTTTGCTGATCTATTTACCAGTTGATAAAATTTGGCTTATTGTGAATAAAGCTGCTATAAATTGTACACATGTTTTTGTAAAAGGACATTTTATTTTTTCTTGGGTAAATACCTAGGAGTGAGATTGCTGGATCATACATAGGTTTACTTTTACTTTTATCTTAAGTAAAAAACTGAAATAAAAATGTAAAAAACCTTCCGGACATTGGTTGTTTTTACTGCTCTTTCTCCAGGGAGAGAGAATGATAACAATGTTCTGTGGGAATGCCCTCTCTCGCTGCAACTTCTCTCCCTCCTGCCTTTTCCTTACTTTCAAGGTGAGACCATCACAAACAGAACTTGGAGAACATACTTTACAAACCCCTCTCTACTAACTGGTTGCTGCTCTCTACTTCCTGGCGCAAACTGCCATGAGGGAGACTGATCAGTGCAGCTGATCACCGTCATCCCACGCTTGCCCAGCTTTCAGGCTGGCACACGTCAGTGTTCGTGGCTTGACTGCATACCTCATCTAGTCAGCTGTGGCCTGGCAAGGAGGTTCATGTAGTAGAAGGGGGGGACATTTTTCTTTTTTAAAGAATAGTTATTGATTTTTTTAGAGGAACATCGATCTGAGAATGTAACATCAATCGGCTGCATGCCCCTCCTCCCCCCAGTGGGGATCAAAACTGAAACCTGGGCATGTGCCCTGACTGGGAATCGAACCCATAACCTTTCAGTGCACCAGATGATGACCACCAACTGAGCCACACCGGCCAGGGTGAGAGGGGACTTCTACAGGGGGTTAAAAAAAATGTGTACACACTTTGAATAATTATAAAGGCAGTGCTTGTTAAAATACATTTCATTTTCAAAATGTAATAGAACCAGCTGTTAAAGTGTCTATAAATTTTGGGGGGACACCCTGTATATATGAAACAACTCCAGAGACTGTGAGCTGAGCAGTGTCCCACACAAGGGATGGTCGATGTGGTTGGCATCCTCAATCTTTCTGACCATCCTAGAGACAAAATTATCTTCCTGAAATCATATACCAACATATGTGGTGCTTGAAAACATGCTGACTTCCTGATCAATTCTCAATTGTCCACGCTCTATAACTACCTTTCATGGTCTCTGGTCTAATCAAACAGTTCAGGTAATTATCCTAAGACTGGGTGATCCGGCCTTCTTAATTTTGTGCAAGTTCAACTCTCTACTTTAATCCTCTTCCCTCTGTCACAACTTACCTGCTTCCTGCTTTGACTGTGAAAATTCCATTGATTTTGCATCTCTTTATCCCCCTCAGCTCCTGGGTACTCACCCATAGCAGCAACTGTTCTTTTGTGGTTATTTTTTTCTGAGTTTCATAAAACCAGAGAAGCCCTGACCGGTTTGGCTCAGTGGATAGAGCGTCGGCCTGCGGACTGAAAGGTCCCAGGTTCGATTCTGGCCAAGGGCATGTACCTTGGTTGCGGGCACATCCCCAGTAAGAGGTGTGCAGGAGGCAGCTGATTGATGTTTCTCTCACATCGATGTTTCTAACTCTCTATCCCTCTCCCTT